CTTTGGGAGGCCAAGGCAGGCGGACCAAGAGGTCAGAAGATCGAGACCATCCTGGCTAACACAGTGAAACCTCATCTTTACGAAAAATACAAAAAATTAGCCAGGTATGGTGGCGGGCGCCTGTAGTCCCAAATGGTGTGGACCTGGGAGGCGGAGGTTGCAGTGAGCTGAGATCATGCCACTGCACTCCAGCCTGGGCAACAGAGCAACATTCTGTCAAAACAAAAGAAAAAAAAAAAGTCTTCATCCTGGTAAACTAGATAAAGTTTTCTGGTTAATAAAAGATGAAAGTTGTCCACTGTACTTATCCAAAAATGTAAAGGCACATGGGCCTTAGTGAGCTAAATGTCTTCAAATCTTTGTACGTATATTTATTTCTTTATTGCTGTTCAATTGCTATTAAAATCCTGACCATTAAGTCTCATCCTTGATCCTATTTCCATCAAATATTGTCAGACTATTGATATTTTCACGTCTCAGTTTAACAGAAGGAAGCAGTGTCAACTGTGTCTTTTGGGACATACAGACCAGAAATGCAGCTCACATGTAAGGCATATGTAGAAAATACAAAATATATATATATATATATAAAATCCTTACAAATATAATTTTCTTTCAAAAAAATTCACTTGGAAAAAGTCTACATTTCCTTTGGTTTACAGCCTATTACATATTTGGATGATCTAATTGAGTTACCAGCCCTTTGGTGAAGAAGAATGGGCAGAGGAACTTGGTTGGCAACTGTGCCATGTCTAGTCTGGGATTTCAACTGCAGTTGAAATGATGAGCATCTTAGATCTTACTTGTTAAAAAAAAATCATAAACGTATTTCCATGTAAAAATCCCCAATACCTTGTCCCTTAAATTCCTTAAATAGGAATATGTGAGGCACATTCTATAAAGGCAGGGTTAATTCAATTCCACAAGTTTAGAGGAATAACTCAAGTGCAAACTATCTTCCTTCTTATCAGGGAGTCCTTTCAATAATGGTCATGTACAGCTACTATCTGCAGAGGCCACCATTGTATTGAGAACACAAGCAATACCGTGGCTCCCACCTGCAGGGGAAATAGCACTCCCACCCAAGCGAGATCCACCTCATCCTGCTTGTAGCAGCTCCAAGTTCTCACTTTCTTCAGCAGATTTCAATTTGCAATTTTTAAGAGAATGGGTTGCCTATCACTTAACACTGTCACTGGGAGATAACATTTCAGTAATTACTCAGTGCTGACATTTTATTATTTAATCTTGAAATCCCATCAGAAATCCCTAGCCTGATAAGCTACAAACGAAGTTTGAGAATAAAGCACCCAGCAAATCTGATTTGCAGTAATCAAAATGGCATTTTGTCGCATGGGAATTAATTATCAACCTGACATGATTTCAGTCTGCTGCCATTCTACGAAATGAGACCCGTTTGCTCTCTGTAAAGATGATCAGCCTTGCTGCTCCAGAGCTGGATGCCCAGTTTCACTTACTCTCACGAGATTCTTCCATTATGCAAACTGGCGATGAAGCCATTACATGCTCCAAAAGATGAAGACGAGAAATTTCACATTCGCAGACTTGTCACGTTCACCTCTTAAAATGTAAGTTCTTGCCAGGTGTTAAGATGCCTTTTTTATTTTACACAGTCACTTAACAATCTGAAGAAACATCCCCCTTGAAGGCAGTTTCAGCCCCCAGGTTCAATGAGAGGGCCCTGTCAGGACTCCGAGGCTCCACCTTGAGACTGCTGAACAAATGAAGGAATCATGTTCATTCCACGAACAGAATGCCCACGTCTTCAGGCTTTTCAAGGTTATTCAGGGGCTACTGCTGGACCACAGGCAATTACCAAGTCAAACGCTCCAAGTGGGCATGAATGTTTTAGCAGAGAACAGACAGAAGGAAAGTGGAACTTAAACAGGAGCGATTTCACCCCTGCATAGCTCGAGAATGCTGCTGGAATCTCCACGGAGGGAAAGAAAGAAAAGCTTTCACCAGGCCGTGCCAGGAAATGGGCTGCCTGCCTCTCATTTCATACTCTTACATGTAACTTTCCTCTCTTTTCTAATAGAGAGGAAAACTGAGTCCCAGAGATGCCTGTAAATCTCCTGTGGTTTTGGTCAGTAAGTGAGGATGTTAGAGAGGTTCTTTCTACCACTCTTGGCCACCTGCCCCAGTGCGGAAAGAGAAACACCAGGCAGTATATTTTCTATTTGGTTGCCTCACACATGTTGAAAAACTCTAGTTGGTATTATTGAAAAACACTATGTATCTCTAACTCCCTTCAATTTTAAGTTTTAGAAATCAACTAACTATAAGAAAAAGTTTGGGCCAGGCACAGTGACTCAGGCCTGTAATCCCAACACTTTCGGAGGCTGAGGCAGGCAGATTACCTGAGGTCAGGAGTTCAAGACCAGCCTGGACAACATGGTGAAAACATACAAAAATTAGCAGGGTGTGGTGGTGGGAGCCTGTAATCTCAGCTACATGGGAGGCTAAGGCAGGAGAATCACTTGAACCCGGGAGGCGGAAGTTGAAGCCTGGGCAACAAGAGCAAAACTCCACCTCAAAAACAATTTTTAAAAAGAAAAAGTTTGATACAATTAAGAAGAGACGTCAGAGGAGAAAGGGAGGAGAATATAAAGTTGTTTTCTGGTCTTACAATATTTGATTCTTCTTTGTGGGGCTCCACGGAGAGAACAGAACTCTCAGGAGACAGGTAATAAAGTGTTAAGGAAGTTTTTGTTCAGAATGCTGCTGAGGGGAATTCTCACATGTGTTACGACATCCAGAGCAGAGCTGGGAACAGCGTGTTTGTGAGTCAGTGCGTGAGTAAGCCTCTGTTCTTCCAGCACAATTGCAGCTTGTTTAGTTTGCAAACACAAGTTGTCTCAGTGATCCACATTCCCAATAGGTAAGGGCCAGCGCCACACTGCCTCCTCTCACAGCACGCCCAGCTCACAGCACGGGAGCCCGAATCCACATGGAAGAAAACTGGACCTTCCGAGGGGCAGCTATTCCTATCTCCACCCTTGCTCTGAAGGACAGCATGGGGGTCAACCAAGAAAAATATCCTCATGTCAAATGTAGAGGAGAAACTGCTTCATTTCAAAGTTTATGAGATCCAAAAATGTTACTGTGATAGTTCATTTCAGGTGTCAACTTGGCTAGGCCACGGTTCTTAGATACTTGCTCAAACACTAATCTAGATGATGCTATGAAGGTATGTTTTAGATGAGATTAACGTTTAAATCAGCAGACTTTGAATGAAGCAATGACTCTCCAGAATGTGGGTGGGCTGCATCCCATCAGTTGAGGGCCTTAAGGACAAAGACTGAGGTTTCCCAAAGAAGAAATAATTCAGCTCAAAACACAACACAGAAACCTCGCCTGAGTTTCCAGCCTGCCAGCTTCCCTACAGATTTTGGACTTGTGAGTCCACACAATTGCATGAGCCAGTTACTTAAAATAAATCTCTCTTCTCTCTCTCTGTCTCCTGTTTCTCAGGAGAATCCTAACTACTAACACTGTTACAAAGCAGATTAAGCAGCCCTATTCCCTCTGAATTTCAGAGCAGAGAGGAAAGAGGCACTTGGCAAAATATCAATTGCTTAGAAAATCAGGGAATTAAGAGTCTATGTGAAAAAAGGCTTTTCAACACCATTCAAGTGCCAAGTTGCATTTCTCAGAAGTAACTTTTTAAGTTATTCGTGAGCATGAGACGTGCCCTTTGGAAGTTCTGGGCCGGGCACTGGAGCAGCGAAACCAGGGACACCTGCATTGGAATGTGGGCTCAGCCCCCGTCCTGGGTGTGTGGCCGCAGGCATGTGACTGAACCTCTAGAGGCCTTTCAAACCTTGGTGTAAATGTGACACTAAAAAGACCAGAGATGTGAAGCACCCTGCTCAGAATCTAGAAAGATCAGTGCTCACTAAATAGTGGCTTAGTGTGATTGCTGCTGATACAAAAGCTATTAATAAAACATACTTCCTCCCAGCCCTAAGGAGGAGAGAGACACATACAAGGATGATTAATGTCCTGTTTCCAAGACCACAAAGGTGATATTGTAGGTGACTGTTGGATCTCAGAGGAAGGGAAACTGAGTCAGCTCCAGAAGTAGAAGTTTGTACAGCGAGGTGGGGTAATGGGGAACAGGCATTCCAGTCAGAGGCCATTGCACCAGCACAGCCAGGGTCAAGCAAAACAGATACTGGCCAGCCATACTGACTGGCCAGGGAGATATGTGGGGACTCATTGTGCTGAGAAGCTTTCTAAAGAGCCAGCTCGTGTAAGGATGGAGACATGCATAGAATAGAAACAAGAGGAAAGGGCTGCCCCGTGCATTCCTTTCTGAACACTCGTGGGTTGTGCACACACAAATTTTTGACTAGAAATCACTCACTTCTAGGTATCAAAACCTCCGTAATTAAAAATCTGTAATGCAAATGCAGAAGGCATTTGGAAATTAAATGGTGAAGTTTTTAAATTCTTACACAGGGAGCCAGTGGTGTAACATAATGTGCATCGAGTAACAATTTTAATAGATGACACAATTCTGAATGTATTGCGCTGTGCTTTTCATGCCCATTAAAATGAAAGAACATATTCTGTTAAGCACACAATAGTACAAGATACACAATACAGTAAAAGCTTTGCAAAGACTTACAGTAAATTGTTAAAAATGCTCAGCCTGTGATGAGATTAAGCCTGTTTTCAATCTTCTTTATTTTACTTGTTTTTTCCTCAATGAATGTGAATTGATTATGAAAAGAGGAAAGGGTATTTTTTTTAACTCTGCCAAGAGTAAATCTAAAAAAGAAAGTGTGCCATAACTGAGTGGTATTCACTTTTATTTACAAGTATACCATTAAGTATACTTATTTACAAGTATACCAGTAAGTATACCACTTTTATTTACAAGTATACCAAGATGCAAAAGAAAAAGTAATGGTCTTTTGAGATTGGTTTGAGATTGAGAAAAGGAAGATTTGCTGTCTAGTGGCAGTACCCACCTGGATCACAGAGGCACTTGTAGCTGGTGCCCACGCTGCGGCACGTGCCATGAGCGCAGGGGCTGAGGGCACAGAAGTCAATAAGCTGGGCACAGGTCGACCCTGTGAAGCCCGAGCTGCAGCTGCAGGTAAAGTGTACCCCGTCCACATAGCAGGTACCATTGTTCTGGCAAGGAGACGAGGCGCACGGGTCCACCTTTTCTTCACAAGCAGATCCAAAATATCCTGTTAGAAAACACACGGGAGCTTAAAACAATTAAAACACTTTTGCACATAATAACTAATCAACTGAGTCTGCTCTACTGTATATTCATAACCAATTCATTCATTCACAGCTCCCAGATATGCCACAACCCAACAAGATAGATAGGTTGTTTTTCTCACCTTTAGTAATGTAGGCTTAAAAATATTAAGCCCCACAATTCCATATTTATTGAAATATACGGTAAATGACTGTTTAGGAGTACATACATATGTGTACATGAAAATATTTATGTGCACACATGTGTATGTGTACATGTGTGTATACTCTAGAACGATACCAAAAATCAATTAATGATAATTTCCTAAAGGAATATGGGATTTGGATCAGCAGAGGGCTCTCCCCTCTTATTTTGTATACATTAACAGGGAACACATTTCTTATTTTACTTTAATAGATACAACATAATCCTGAATTTTAAAAAGTAAAACCATATAAACTAGTAAACAATGAAAAAGTCTCGTTTTCATCCCTGTCCCTTTGTCTCGCATTCCCTTCTCTACAAGCAGCCACTGTTAACAGTTTCTTGAGGCCGGGCGCAGTGGCTCAAGCCTGTAATCCCAGCACTTTGGGAGGCCGAGATGGGCAGATCACGAGGTCAGGAGATCGAGACCATCCTGGCTAACACGGTGAAACCCCGTCTCTACTAAAAATACAAAAAACTAGCCGGGCGAGGTGGCGGGCGCCTGTAGTCCCAGCTACTTGGGAGGCTGAGGCAGGAGAATGGCGTAAACCTGGGAGGCGGAGCTTGCAGTGAGCTGAGATCCAGCCACTGCACTCCAGCCTGGGTGACAGACCTAGACTCCGTCTCAAAAAAAAAAGTTTCTTGAATATATGCTTTTTTAAAAGTTGATTGTTGTAACAGAGAAACAGAAGTGATCTACCCATACAATGAAATACCACTCAGCAATTTTTAAAAAAACTGATTGTATGGTACATTTTTAGTAGGATTTCTAAGATTTGAAAGCTACCAGGAATTTTATAAAATGCTGAATAGCACTGGATTTTTTCAGAAGATAATTTTATATTTTATATTTTATATTTCTATACTGCATAGAGAAATACCAAGTTGATTATGCCAACTTATGTGTAGTGCTTCACATAATTAAATCTGGGAGTACTGATACATGGTATGACATTAATGAATGTCAAAAGCATTATGCTAAGTAAAAGAAGCTAGGCATGAAATACTACATGTTATATAATTCCATTTGTAAGAAATGTGCAGGAAAAGCAAATCTGTAGATATAGAAAGTAGATAAATGGTTGCCTTGGCTGGGCCAGAAAGAGGGGTTCACTGCAAATGGGCATGAGGAGTCCACTGGGGCAGATGGAAACGTTTAAAACTTGGATTGTGGTAATGGCTGCACAACTCTGTAAATTTACTAATATGCTTTCAACTGTGCATTTCAAATGAATGAATTTTACAATGTATAAATTGTACACTTAAATAAAATTTTATGTCATATAAAGTTATGTAAGGCTGTTAACTCTTTCTTTTAAATATGGTTACTGTGTAGGTGATTTTTATCTTGTTTCCTGTGTATATGATTCAGTATTTCTTGTTAAAAAATTATACATGTGGATATGTGTGGGTCTCTACATCTGTGCATACATGTAGGTATATATATTTAACAATGCTTTGCATAAAAACTATACTTCTTTCAATACTTTAAGAGCAGTTTGGAAATTAAAGATTTTTCAAATTTTAGAAATAAAAGTTAGATAATTTTACTCACATATAGTTTGTATTCTAATAGTCTATTACACTTCTCTTGTTTACATTGAAGTTTATATTTACTCATCTTCTTTTTTTTTTGAGACGGAGTTTCGCTCTGTCCCCCAGGCTGGAGTGCAGTGACCGGATCTCAGCTCACTGCAAGCTCCGCCTCCCGGGTTTACGCCATTCTCCCGCCTCAGCCTCCCGAGTAGCTGGGACTACAGGCGCCCGCCACCTCGCCCGGCTAGTTTTTTGTATTTTTTAGTAGAGACGGGGTTTCACCGTGTTAGCCAGGGTGGTCTCGATCTCCTGACCCCGTGATCCGCCCGTCTCGGCCTCCCAAAGTGCTGGGATTACAGGCTTGAGCCACCGCGCCCGGCCTATTTACTCATCATCTTATAGAACTCCTAGCAATACTGACAATTTTTGTTGTTGTTAAGGACACATTTAATATGTAAACAAACCAAAATAACACCCAGATTTAATTATGTGAAGCACTACTCATAAATTGGCATAATCAACTTGGCATTTCTCTGTACAGTATAGAAATATAAAATATAAAATATAAAATTATCTTCTGAAAAAATCCAGTGCTATTCAGCATTTTATAAAATTCCTGGTAGCTTTTAAATCTTAGAAATCCTACTAAAAATGCACCATACAATCAGTGTTTTAATAACACTTGAATTCTCCAAAAAGTTCCCTGGCAGGCTCAAGTGGAATATAATTCTACCTGTCATGAGATACGTTCCATTTTACTCTGATTGAAAATAAGACACTGAACCATTTTTCAACATATGACAGTATTATATGTTAACATCACTGTTTAACATGATTTCAAAAATAGAATTTATAACTCGAATCTTTTCATTTTAGAAAATAAAATCATTTTATCTGTCTAGAAAATGCAGCATAGCTGCTTAAAATATTAAAAGGCCCATTTAATTTGCTCAAGCGTGACACTAAAAGTCATTCAATATTTTTTTCTCAATATGAAGGAATAATTTTGAGAAATGGATTGACCAAGCCAATCCACAGCTTGCATTTAGTTAGATAGTGACCCAAGATTGCATCTTATGACTCGAGGAGAAAAAAAAAGTGGTGGGGGTGGGTGGTGGCCAGTGGGGAGCACTGCAGGTTCTAGGTTAACCTTGTGGATGCACTGACTTCTTTACAAGAAATTCAGGCTCATAATAAATTCCATACCCAAGGCTGGGTACCAGTTTGCCAAAAACAGCAGCTCAAGGTGAATCAGGAAATTCTAAAAGTTAATGCTCAGAAATGGAAATCAAATTTTTTTATTTTTTTTATTTTTTTGAGACAGAGTCTCACTTTGTCACCCAGGCTAGAGTGCAATGGTGCAATCTCGGCTCACTGCGACCTCTGCCTTCCTGGTCAAGCGATTCTCCTGCCTCAGCCTCCTGAGTAGCTGTGACTACAAGAGCGCACCACCACGCCCGGCTACTTTTTGTATTTTCAGTTGAGATGGGGTTTTACCATGTTGGTCAGGCTGGCCTCAAACTCCTGACCTCGTGATCCGCCCGCCTCAGCCTCCCAAAGTGCTGGGATTACAGGCGTGAGCAACTGTGCCTGGCCACAGAAATCAAATTTAAAAGGACATTTTGATTATTTTTGTTCCTCCAGAGGAAATGAACTAATGATGACAGAAGGTGACAGTTGAGAACTGTCAACTCTGTCAACTCTTTTAGCTGAGAACACAGAGAAGAGAAATGATCATAGGAACTGTGTCCTTGAAAACCCTGTGAGATTAGATGGGTGAGAACTTAGTGGAAAGAATATCTAGGGAGGGTCAAAGGTAAGAAAAATCAGGAACAAGAAGCTTATACCTAAGTTGGGAGCATAAAAATGAAAATTACTTAGAACTACTAGAACCCAGTAGAAGAGTTAACATTAAATATAGTTCTCAGTGGAGGCTGATAATTAAGCATTGGATTATCAGTGTCATGGGTTAAACTGTGTCCCTCAAAAATTCATATTTTTTTAAATTAGCTTTCTCTGGTTGAGTAAAATTCATATTTTGAAGCCCTAACTCTCAATACCTCAGAAGGTAGCTCTTCAGAGATAGTGCCTTTAAAGAAGTGGGTCGGTTAAACTGAGGTTGTTAGGTTGGGCCCTAATGCAATCTGACTGGTGTCTTTATAAGCAGAGATCAAGACACAGAAAAAGACACCAGGAATGCCTGTGCACAAAGGGAAAGACCTTGTGAGGAAGAAGCAAGAGGGTGACCCTCTGCAGGGCAAGGAGAGAGGCCTCAGAAAAAAATCAACCCTGCCAGCACCTTGATCCTGAACTTCCAGCCTCCAGAACTAGAAGTAGATGAACTGCTTATCAGCCTCCAAAGCTAGAAAGAGATGTCTGTTGTTTAAGCCTATAGTCCTTGGTCACAGCAGCCTGAGAAGACTTATACAAACAGGGAGCATAAGGAGAAAGGGAAGCGATGATTAGGATCTTGTGTGTGATTCTGTGTTCACCAGCCCACCCAGCAATCTGAGTGGCCATGGCAAGGCCCCCTTTCTCCCATCATCCACTGCCTATACCTGGAAAACAGGGCTGAAACTATTTTCTTCACAAAGTCATTGTGGATTCTAAAAAATATATATATCAAACTTCCTAGTACAGTTCCAGTCCAAGGCTCAATGAATGAATGAATTAAAAATGCTAATAATAACAGCAAGGGGCCAGGCACGATGGCTCATGCCTATAATCCCAGCACTTTGGGAGACTGAGGCAGGCGGATCACAAGGTCAGGAGTCCGAGAACAGCCTGGCCAACATGATGAAATCCAGTCTCTACTAAAAATACAAAAATTAGCCAGGTGTGGTGGCGCATGCCTATAATCCTAGCTACTGGAGAGGCTGAGGCAGGAGAATTGCTTGAAGCCAGGAGGCGGAGGATGCAGCGAGCCAAGATAGCGCCACTGCACGACAGGCTGGGTGACAGAACAAGATTCTGTCTCAAAAAATAAAAAAAAAAAACAGCAACAGCTAACAGCCACTGGAGGCTGATTTGCATCACCTGGTTCTAACCTTTTAGGTGAATTATTTCATTTAACACTACTGTTATAGTAGGATGTAAGAACTATAATAGCCCTGTCTTACAAATGAGAAAACAGTGATGTGAGAATGTGAAGTAGCCTTTTCAAGTCTAAATAGCTAGTAGATGGCAGAGCTGGGACGACAAGGCCAAGTGCTTACACGTCTCCTACACTGCACAGAAGAGAAG